AAGACAATTAAAAATTTATAGAATGTTCCTCTAAAGACCATCAGAAAACACAGATATTTACATTATGATTCATAACAGTAGCAAAATTACAGTTATGAAGTAGCAATGAAAATAATTTTATGGTTGGAGGTCACCACAACATGAGGAACTGTATTTCAGGGTTGTGGCATTGGAAAGGTTGAGAACCACTACTCTAATGTTTTGATTTATTAATTATAAAGAAGTATTTATTTTTATATGATCTCAATGAATAATTTAAGATTCAATAGAAATATTCATTTAATCAATTTTCATAATAATAATAATTTCCATGGGTGAGGAAAAATTCTTAAACTAAGGATGCTGCAATGGAAAATTATATTTTTCTGCTTTGAATTTTATTCCTGAATCTTTTTACAGGGTAAAAACTGGCATTGTGGATATTACATTAAAGCATCTTTCATTGCCAATAAATCAATTAAGCCAGGTTGTACGGGTTTTTTACATCATGTGTCATGAAGCCTCTCTTGAATATGTATCTATTTATGATGGGTCCTGTTTAACAAGAAAACAGAGAAAGAATCTAAATGAGGGCCCATGGTTATGGAGCATAGGCCAATTATACATAAAAGATGAAGGTTCATGATGGCACCATACATTGGAGTGTTACTTCAGTCACCCTATCTCAGCTCCAATCAGAAAAACCACAAGATTCAGTTGTACTTATGTCTCATTATCTGTGTGCTGCAGGTTGAAAATAATTGTTGAATAAATTAGCATCAGATCAGAAAGCATGAAATTAAGGACACAAATAAAGTGAGTTGCAACATGGTAAATTAAAAACAAGTTGAAGACTTCCTAAGTTGAGCATCAAGAGCTGCATTCATTAAGGGGAAATACAATTTCAATTCACATAGAACACAAATTAAAGACAGAGACATATTTAAAATATTTACATTTTGTTTTACTTATATGTGTAACCTCATGGAAGAAACATCAACTAAGATAATTGGTTAAGAGATGGGACATTTAAAAACCACCTTTTCAACCACAGTACATACTATTATAGGCTAGCATTTGCAGAATTTAGGTATCACTTGTTGATATTGATACTTGCTTCTAAAAATAAAGGATTCATGTTCATATAATGCATGTGATAAATTCAGTTGTTTTTCTCTGTGAAGTTTAGTTTTCTTTCAGTCATGTTCCATTCACATAAGTTCAATAATAAGTGGTAGGTGAATATTAATTCTAATAAACTTTGAATGTTGCCGACTAATATCTGATACATTCACTTAAAAAGATGGAGATAACCCAGCTAGTGTGGCTTAGTGATTGAACATCAACCTATGAACTAGGAGGTCAGAATTCAATTCCTGGTCAGGGTATATGCCCAGGTTCTGGACTCCATCCCCAGGGTGGGGCTTGCAGGAATCAACCAGCCAGTCAATGATTCTCTCTCATTATTGATGTTTCTATCTCTTTCTCCTTCTCTCTTCCTCTCTGAAATCAATAAAAAGTATATATACATACATATATATATATAAATGTATTTTATATACATACATAAATGTATCACATATACATATACACATATATACATATATATGCATATATATACACATATATAATATATATACACACACACATACTGTGTGTGTGTGTGTGTGTGTATAGAAAGAGAGAAAGAGAGAGAGAGGAAGAGAGAGAGAGAAAGGGGGGCCCATGCATGAATTCCTGCACAGGTGGTGTCCCTTGGCCTGATTGGTGATCAGGGCCCATCGGGGCTTTCTCAACCCAGTCCCAATTGAGGCCGATTGGGACCAGCCAGCCAACTGAGGGAACTGGACCACAGGTGGTTGGCTAGCTGCAGAAAGTTGGCTGTGGGGACATACTGACCACCAGGGGGCAGTTCTGAGCATCTGTCCCCTGGTAGTCAGTGTTATAGGCAGGTCCTCTGGTCATTAGATCATAATGGTCTCTTAGGCATATGTATATATATATACATATATAATTACTTTTGTATTTATCTTTTTTACTGAACTTCCCCATATCCACTTAAATATCTAAATGAGGCCAACCTCCCATGGTCCCTCCCCATGGCTGGCCAGCCCCAATCACGATTGTGTGAGATGGGCCCCAATCAGCCCTGATCGCTGGTCAGGCAAAGGGATGCCGCCTGTGCATAAATTTGTGCATTGGGCCCCTAGTTCTATAATAATTAAGTACCCACTCTGTGCCATGCCTATACTGAACTTTACCTGTGTTCCTGTCATTTTTACAACATGACTAAGAGATATTCTTAATCCATGTCCTTGATGAAGAAATTAAGGTTGCTGAATGTTTAACTAACTTGTGCAGTCACATAGTGGTTATGGTAGAACCAAAATAAAATCAGATGGCTAGCTCCATAGTCCATGTTCCTGACCATTACACAGTATTGTCTCCTTCATAGTAATAGTAATCTGGCACAGTTCTAAACATTACATTAACTTATTACAGAAGGCAGATTGGTTGCCTAAAGAGTTTTACATTTACCCTGGGTAGTAGGAAGTCATGGTCAGAATTTGTTTTGATGACGTTATGTTTAGCCCAATATTAAAGATGATATGAAAACATGAAACTTTTCAAATATTTGCATGCTATTTTACTATGGCTATCCTTAAGAACACTATTTTACATTAGATAAGACCATTTCTGCATAGGAAATGACATTACTCAATCGTTACTATGATTGGTGCTAATATGGTATCTAGCACCCTATGCTATCACTAATATCCTTTCAAGGTCCTTCCCTTGATAGCATATAGTCTATCAGATAAACTATAGTGAAATTCAAAATGTAGTTTCATTTTATTGTATGTGTGGACATATTGTTTATTTCATATATTCCTGCCTATTTATTCACATTGTATAAGCTCATAAAATATTTATTTCATTTTATTTCTTTCAAAAAGTAATGGTACTTGACCCTTATCTGCCTCTCTGTTGACCCTGCCCTCCACCTTTCTTTAGTGACTTGTTTGTTTCTGTAAGACCACAGGTTGCTCTTCTTGCTCCAGCAATAAACTCTGAGTTGCTGCCAAGGGGGTACTGATGTATGGGTGAATACTAACAGAGGAGAAAACATCTAAGTTTTGAAGAAAACCACATGTCTTGCAGATTATTTTATTCCTATGCGACATTCCTTTATGGGCATTCTTACTGGAGATGTGTGTCTCTTGGAAATATCTGGTCAAATATTCTCATAGCAATACAGGTTTATTCAAAAGTTCAAGCAAAAGAATAAAATATCTAGGAACTATGTATTGAAAATTAAAATCCCACTTCTGGGTATATACCCTAAAACCTCGAAATCATTTAAACACAAAGTTATAGGCACCCCTATGCTCACTGAAGCATTATTCATGGTGGCCAAGAGTTGGAAATAGCCAAAGTTCTCTACTATAGAGGACTGGATAAAGATGTGGTGTATATATACTGCACAGTCATAAAAAAGAATGAAATAATGTCATTTACAACAACATGAATGGACTTTGAGAACATTATGGGAAGTGAAATAAGTCAAACAGAGAAAGCTAAGAACTATATGATTTAACTCATATGTGTAATATAAAATTGAAACTTATGTACACAAACATCAGTGTGGTGACTGCCAGAGGGAAGGGGGTGGGGAAGAAAGGGGTCCTAATATGAGGTGACAGGAGATTTGACTTTGGGTGGTAGGCACATGGTCCTATTTTCAGATTTTGTAAATTAGTAATTCACACATGAAACCTACATGTTTATGTTGACAAATGTCACCCCAATAAGATTTAAATAATTAAAAATAATAATAATAAAATTAAAAACATTTTTTTTAAAGTTCAACCAATTATCACCATGATACTTCTGCTGTGCTCTTTTGCTCAAACTTTGAGAAGGTTTTTGCAGTCTTATCTGTGAACCATTGTGACTGAATTATGATTTGGGTATTAACTTGTTATATAAAAATTTTTGTTGTTTTGTTTTTCCATTTTTAAAAGTTATATAGAGTAAATGTATATCTTATTAATTAAAATTTGTTAGTTGAGAACATTTATTAAATACACATTGCTTGTATGCATATCTGACATATGTAATTTTTTATTGTTTAAATTATTACACATAATTTAAAACTTGATTAATAGGAACTGGAAATTGAACAAATGCTTGAAAGAAAGAATGTTCTTTGCCACATTTTTAGATGATTTAGTAAGTGAAACATAGGTCATGAATGATAAAGCAATGAAAATAAATACAATTGGCAAAGAAAAAAATAGGTTAAAAGTACATAAAAGCCTCAGTTATGTGCCATTTAAATACTTTGTTGGCTGACTAAAAAGTTATTTGAAATCTTTATATTGGGAAGTTCACCACAAGACTACATTTACAAGACACTCATACAAATTTAAAAGAGATGTGAAATTTCTCAATATTCCTTAGTATAAATCTGCTTTGCTTTAACAAAATAATTAGTCTTAAGGAACTTTCACCATCTTCTGAGACTGTTGCTTTCCCTAGAACTATTAAAATACCTCGATGGGAAAAAAGTTTGAATAAAAAAACACATCTGGCTGTAAAACCTACTTAAAAGGTTCTGAAAAAAGCAGGGCACCTATGGTTATAGTAATTCTATTAAATGTTAAACGCCAATGCCTCAATAAAAAATCTGAAGTTAATATTTCATTAGAATAAAAAGTGAAAGAGCCAGGAGAAAATAGAAAGTACCTTTACTGCTTCTTTTATCTGGATACATTTTCTCTGGTGCTGAATTAATAGTAAGTGAGTTAATACATATGTATTAAAAACATAAATAGAAATTTAAGTTTATTGAAGATCAGCTTTGATCAGAATCTACATACAGGACAATTCTTACTTATATTAGATAAATTATTAATAACATTACTATGGCTCAACCTTGAAATTAATAAGCTAATAGAAGAAACCCAGATATTCATGATACATACACACATGCATTAGTAATTTGCGGTTGTACTTACTTTTGGTCACTACACCTTCTAAGTGGATGATGTTAGGATGATCAAACTGCCCCATGATACTTGCTTCACCCAGGAAATCTCTACGTTGCTTTTCAGTGTAGCCTACTTTAAGGGTTTTGATCGCTACAGGTAATTCTCTTTTTCCTGGAAGTTTCAAACGTCCACTACAAACTTCACCAAATTCACCTTATGACAAAAATAGAAAAAAGTATACAAAATCATTTGAAATCCTTAATCTAACCCTATATAATAAAAGCCTATTATTTAAATCAACTGAATAGCAGATTGACCAGTGGAACGACCAGTTGCTATGATGCGCACTGACCAGCAGGGGGCAGATGCTCAATGTAGGCCCTGTCCCCAGCCTCCAGGCCCAGGTCAACCAAGGTGGGTGCCAGGAGGGTCCTCTGATCACTCCGCCAGTTACCCCACATATTGGGCCTTATTGCTGACCAGGCGTAAGGACCCTATCCATGCACAAACTTTGTGCATCAGGTCTCTAGTAATAAAAAAAAGCACTCAGAATATCAAGGTATAGATGAAACAGAGTTAACAGGGGAGTCCAAACTTTGTTACCAATGTTAATAGAGATAAATGGTGCACTGGAAACAATAATCTATAAGTAATCATAAAACACTATCGGTGTTATTGGTTTCATCCATCTCACCAACAAAAAACTTAATGGAAATGATACAACAAAATTAAATGGAATTGACTTAAATACTTTCCATTTTCCTTTCCCCCACCTTCTATTCTAGTAGTGCCATCAAGGAGAAGAGAAAGGGAGAAAAGATTATGGCAGGACGAATCTTTTTTTAGGAAAACAATTGTAAGGAAGAAATGTTCATAAATAGAATAACTGTGTGTTTAAATTATGTAAATATTTCCAGAATTACAACTTATATATGCATATGTATAAAAACAAACAGTAGATGGTGAAGCACTATGTTTGAATATATTGCTGGTTTATTTATTTTTTTATTTCATAAGCTAGACACTTGCTGATTGAAATGTGAGCTACACTGAAGGTAGCATTAAAATATGATCAATTATATACCACTTTGAGAGCGAGTCAGTTACAAAAGATCAAAAACATTTTGTGTTAGCCTGGCCAATGTTGGTCAGTGGTTGAGTATCCACTCATGCACAAGAGGTTATTGGTTCCATTCCCAGTCAGCGCACATGCCCAGCAGGGGGCATGAAAGAGGCAGCCAATCTATGTTGATGTTTCTCTCTCATCCATGTTTCTATCTCTCTCTACTTCTCTCTTTCTCTCTTTCTAAAGTCAATAAAAACATATTTAAAATTAAAAGACACACAAAAATTCGGTATTAGATCACAATACCATTTGTAATACCATATGTAATGACATTACATTTACATTAAATCTTATCATTAAACACAAGTTAAAAAGTCTGATTTAAACACACTGTGATACCTGCTCCAATCACTCTTTCAATGGTGATGCATGAAGCTTCTATCTCCTTGGCAAATTCATGGACAGCTTGATTGGGATCCTCATAGGTATGTGGATCGATGTAAGTTCTTACTCCTGGCAGTTTAACTGTGAAAATAAACAGGCATTAAAATACAAGTGCTTATGCTGGATGAGTGAAATGATGTGGCTTAAATCCCTAATCCCTATAAGTGTATTGAGCTATAAGAATAGCCTCTCCTGAATTATAGGAATCATTTGTTCAGCTATATCATCTTTATAATTTTGAAATCTGAATAGCTGGCAGGTACCGGAAATGTACACATGGTGATATATATGAGTAAAAGCATCATTCAACACCAATGTTTTACAGAGTTAGTCTCTGAGACAAATAAAGACAGTTTCGTTTACTAAAGGGGACAATAAAATGTTAGTGGTTTACTTGTTCGTTTGTTAGTCTGAATCCCACTTAAATTATCATCAGAGATGACTGATTTTTGGTTTTACAAAAAATAATTTAAAATACATTTTCAGGTGTATTGTCAATATGACTTATAGAACAGTCAAAAGAAAAAGACTTCCCATTCTACCTGTTACTCCACAGACTGTTATGTTCCAAGAGCCTCAGTTTCATATATTTAAAAGCTACCAACATCTGCCTCACAGTGTTGTTGTTTTTTAGGATAAATAAGATTAATCTCGATATTATGGAAATGAACTCAATGTTTTACAGCATGACTTATGGCTTTAATGACTGGCTTTTGTGGGCACAAAATAGCGACAAAAATAAAAGAAATACTTTTTTGTCATTTATTTGATGAAACAGCTCATGCTGCAATGTTAATGACAAAAGGAACATATTAAAATGCCATTAATTAGAAACTATTTACTATTTTTTAAAGCTCATTGTTAAAACTTTATTTTTTGCATTTCTTAAAAATACAGAACTATTCAAGTCATTGGAATCAAGGTTGCTGCCACAGGATCTGCTCAGGGAAGGTCCTGTTATAATGCTGCAAAAAAAAAAAAAAATACTGAGAAATTTCATCCCTGTCATCTGGTGGTGTGACTTAACAACAGATGTCTACTGAATATATTGCTAGCGTTTATTATTAACTTAGATATTTGGTTTGAAAAATAAAGGCTTTATATTAAGCAAAAAGTTTTTATTTTAATGATTATAATCAAAGTATGTTTTAAAGAACTGAGCACACAATCTCTCTGTTGCTTAGAATCAGCCGCAGTGCCCCACCCTTATATGCTTTACAGAAATGTAACAAAACACATTTTTAAATCAATAAATGTTTCGGTCAGTTAATAGAAATCTTGTGTGAAAAAAACACACACACCATAATAATAATCTGTCCCTGACATTGTGCACTTTTGAGTTTTTACAATTTGCTTACTGTGCCCATTATGAAAATGCATCTTTTCTTCTTCTGGGTCTTGTTTTGCCTTGCTGTAACCACACCGCCTGGAACAGAGTAAGCTGCAGTTAGTTCCATCTCCAATGGGTGAATCACATCAAGCCAGGAACGTGAAACACAATTGAAATGATTGCAACCCTAACTGATTTTCACACTAGTGGTGTGAAATAACACCAATACTCTTTTTTGGTCACATTACTCTAGCCAACAGCTCTCTCTCACTCCTTGTCATATTTTACTGAAAGTCTAATCTATCCATCTCATTTTAACTTCTCTTCAACATACATCAAACAGCAAGCATGCTTCTATTCCACTTTCTCTGTTATTTATTTATTTTTTGCCAGCTCCAGAAGTCACTGACTACTTTTTATCAAGATGAACAGTTCAAAATGTGTCTGATTCATTAGTCTCCCTCCTCAGCTCCTTACTCTATCATTTAAATTTTCTCTTCTTACAGAATCATTAGTTGCTGCACGAGCTCTTTTCCACTCACGTCCCCTCAGATCACCATCAAATTGACCACAACCTGCCCTCTCTCTCAGCCTCACTCTCCAAATCAATTTCTCCTGTTTGCTTTTTCTCATCCACTCCCCAGTTTGAGTTCTTTTGACCTGCTTCTAGTACCTACAGCCATCTGTCCTTCAAAGTTTCACTAATGACATATTCACATCTAAATATAATAACTTTTCCTTAGTTTTTAAGCATTCTGATGGACTGAAATCCCTAACTACTTTTTGATTTGTTTTTGTTTTTGTTTTTTTTGTTCCTTTCTTCATTTATGCCAATAGATCCTCTACATGAACTTCTCGGTTCTCTCCTATCAATCCATCTATTCCCATCAAGTAAATTAATACCATGTAGTACCGCTGGTTGAATTCTTTTGAAACTTATGCTCTTATTTATCATAGATTTATTTTTATAGATATATATATTCATTGGCATTCATACTCAATAGATTTAATATGTTACATAATTAACCATATAATATTAAAATAACTGACAAAAATGAAAATATTTAAATTATTTTAGTGATGCTCCAAGGCTATGAATTTACTATTTACAAGCTTTCATAACAAAATTGAGTTTATTAAATAAAAAATTTCCATTTATTTTTGTATAAGGAAAATATAGCCAAAGTGATAGATTGACAAAATATTTTCATTACGTTGGTTGAAAATTACTAAATGAAATGTCCAGTTGACAGTTGGCATGTACTAGTGAGGACTGGTTCATGATACACATTCAAGGATGTTTAATAAGTCTAAATATATGTATATTTTAGTATAAAAATAAAACCTATTTTATTCTACATTATTTCTAAGCGAATAAAATAGATAAGGTACCACAACTTTGTGCAATTTTTAAAAAGAAATTATCTTTATTTTATCATCTTAAAGAACTGCCAATTTATTAGTGAAGTACAGCTAGTTATATTTAAATTTGTTTAAACTAATATATTTAACATATATATAGTGTTCTTGGGTGAGGAATAATACACAATCTGGATCTAGTGGCTTTTCAAGTTTTATTCATAACATTTAGGTACATTTGTCATTCAAGAACCCTTTAGACATCTTGAAATATCTCACCATAGTGAAATGAAAGAACAAATAAAATGATATTGCAATTATATTTTGCAAATTGATCTACTCAAGTTGACATTTCAATTATTCTAAAATATTGTTCATAGTTTCATAGATGATATTTTTTCAATCTTTATGTATATGCCTCTACAGTGAAGTTAATGATACCTTTATTTTTACCAATGCTTTAAATACAATGGTGTGAAATCATACTAAGATTTATTCATTTAAATAACATTGACACAATTTTTTTCTAAAGGTAATTCTAAAGTCTTAAAAAGTATACAAGTTCCTGCAGTTTACATTAGAAAAGAAATATCCTATTATTTTTTGTTCTATTTTTAAAAAAAATGTCACTGGGTTTTTGAAGGTTTGATATGACTGTATTAAATTGTTATATTTTTTGTAGTGAAATGGACATTTTAATGATGATTTTTTTTCAATCCATAAAAATGGAATATAGTTTCATTTTATTGTGTCTATTTCAATCTTGTCTATTAATGCTTTGTAGTTTTCAGTATATAGGTCCTTCATATCCTTTGTTAAGTTTATTCCTAAGTATTTTATTATTTTTGTTGCAATTTCAAAATATTTTTTCATTTCTTTTCCTGAAATTAATGGAATACTATTCAGCCATAAGAACAAATGAAATACTGCCATTTGAGACAACATGGATGGATCTTGAGACTAACATGCTAAACAAAAGAAAAAGTTTAGAATCATATCACTCATAGGTGGAATATAAAACTGAAAGCAACAAATGAACATATAAGAAAAACAAGCAAAAACCCATAGGCATAGTCAACAATATGGTGATTACTAGAAGGAAGAGGGTTTGGGGTTTGAGAGGGTAAAGGAGATCAAATATATGGTGACAGAAGATTTGACTTTGGATTATATTATACAGATGAATCAAAGATTTGTACACTTGAATCCTACATAATCTTATTAACCAAGGGCACCCCGATAAATTTAATAAAAAAGAAAACAACCATTTCATCTTCAACTTCACCTTCAAAAAAATTAAGCTTTCAAACTTGTTTCCTCAAATAGTTTTTATCATTAGATACCTTATAAATACTTAAATCACATGCACAGTCCTCATATAAAAATGGAAATAAAACTTTGGATCTCATCAAAAAAGTGATTTGGGAATACCTTGATAAGAAGAATTTGACATTTTAATACCTGGGGTGAGATTCAGAAGGGCAATAGAGGTTTTTGTTTGTTTGTTTGTTTTTGTTTTTTGCTTGTTTTGTTTTATTTCTGTTTTTTACTATGGGCATCTCTGAAGCTCTATAATATATACTGTTCCATGTCACATTAACATATAAATTAAGTTCTGGAACTTTCCCCCAAAGTATCATTTGAACAAGTTACAGCAAGATCAACAAGTAATAGTGCAGCTGGCAAAGCCTGGCACTCACGGAGTGGATCAGCCTCATGAACAAGGCATCTCGGGAAGCCTGTTCATTCAGTGTCATCTTCTGTACCTGATCCAGATGCATAGTTTTAAACCATCAGACAGACAGTCAATAAACATGCCATTCTGTGCATCAATCACACCAGCTACATTCTAGAACCATTTTTTTTGACAGAAAATAAACAGTTTCTTCATTTTGCTTCCTATCACAATTTTAATAAGCTTCATATCATTGTACTAAAAGTATCTGTAGTGTTGTAATTAGAGAAATCATCTTCTAGTCATTTATGCTTTTTCTTCTAGAAAACAATGCTGTTATATCTTTAGTAGTAGAGATGAGCATGAGAAATTATATAAAAGGTAGGTATAACTAATATTCATTAATATTTACTAAGAAATCCTAAAGAGATACGTAATATATAAATACAGCAATGTCTTTATAGGTAATATAGAAATCAACCTACTTCCCTCTCACACCATCATAAGAATTAGAATAACACATCCTTGATGATATTAATGCTGATCTTAAAATCTAAAGATCATAGATTTTAAGATCATAAAATCTCAGCCATAACATCCTAAATTTGGATATTTGAAATGTCCACTACACATGAAATAGTAAATAATAATATTTATGTTGAGATGGATATGCTAATGAGTAAATTGGTTGTTAGATGCAAATTAAGGATTTGATAATACATTTGAAGCATAAATGCCAAGCGGACCAGAGCACAAAGTGATACACAGAATCAGTGATTTACTAAATGGCAGCCTTGTGCCAATGAGGAGAGATGAGTAAATGGAATAGCCTGAAAAGAGTGTAGATTCTGACTCAATTACAGCTGCCATAGAGTTATATGTTCCCATTCCTCGCCTACAAAAATAAAAACTGGATATACACTCTTTCACCTTAATTCTAAATAAGGTGGGGAGGGGTGGAACGGTGGGAGGAAGGGTTTTGCATTTTGATGTTTTTAAAAGAGTGAACATAAGTAGTTCAAGATCAGAAATGACCACTCAGCTATGTATTGTTCCTCTGTTTTCCAGATTTATTAAGGAATACTTTCCTTATACTTTAATACAAAAAATATTTAAAAGGCAACAAATTGCAGTAAACATTAGATTATATATATTTTGTTTATGGAAAATAAAAGCTGCTTGTAATTTTAGCCTCCTTTAAAAAACACATTTCTCCGTCTATGTACCCTCGCTTGTTCTGACATAATGACTTCAAGCACTGCACAATGTTGTATGTAAGAATGTATTGCTGGAATCTTGAAAATAATAAGTTACAACTTCTTGGGAAATAGTTTAACTTTTTCACTTCAGGATTCTCTCCAACTGAACCAAGGTAGTTTTAATTAAAACTCAGCTAACTAAGCCTCATAAAATAAAAAAGTATATAGATATTAGCTTACTAATATATATAGTAAATACTGGAAATAGATTGTTTTGTTTTACGGGAGCACATTCTTTAATAAGAATGTCAGTGAAATGCAGTAAAATTGGACACCTAATATTTAGGCTGCCTTTCTAGCAGGGCCTTAAGACTCTCATTCATATGGTTCTCATTTGTATAAACAAATACTGGGATTCTGAGTTCCTTACAGATATAAATCATAAAAAAATGCAACTGATCTATTATTGTTTACTAAAAATTGTTGAAACATAATTTTCTTGATTGTGGGATTGCAGTAGTAATTATATTGCATAATTGAGGACACAGATTACTAGGTTCCCATCATAGATTCTATCAAGAACAATAACTACTCATTGATTAATGACAATGTGAGAAGCTAACTTATTTTTTATCTTATTTCTTAAATGTTATTTTTATTTTCATATCCTAAAAGACAAAGAAAAAAACACATTAGAAATAACACCTTCCAAAATAGTGCAGTGCATATGAATCTGGCAATTGTTCACTAATGAACTATTCAAATCCTTTTAGAATTAGCAATAATAGGGAGACTTGAGCAATTTTAAATGCTTCAATAAATTCAAAGATGAATCATAGAGTTTTTAATATTGAGTTGGATTTTAATTGACTTAGAAATTCAATATAAAGACACTTTAATAAAGTATGATATTTGTGGAACGAATCCCCCTGTTTTCAGTAATTTTGTTCTAATACTAAAGTAGACATTTTTTTCTATTAATTTTTAAATTATTGCATAATGTGACTATTGGATATCTTAAATACAGTAGGTCCACTTAATATCTCTTATTGTCTGAGATTCCCTAGAAAAAGAATTTTGGAGCAACATGCACAGCAAGCCATCAATTATAATTTAATATATTCTATATATAATAGGTTAAGCACACATATGCCTGCTATGAGCACTTTAAACAGGGTCTAGAATTATTACAAAGGGATGACTTCATTCTTTATGCCCTTTTCCTAATTTTATAAAGTAAATTAGTCCTTCCACATCACTCTCAAGCAGAAATTTTATGAAAATAAAGAAAATAATCTGTGTTAAGTGTATAAGAAAAAAAAATTGGCTTACTTCAAATTCCAAGGTAAGTTCAGTTAATATAGAGGAAGAAATATGGCTCACTGAAAAATTAATAAAGTAGTTAATGTTTCAATGTATTCAGGATACTTTTGTCAGTAAAATTTGTTTCTGTTTGTAATCTCTGAATTATAAGAGAAGATACAGTTCACCCCTGTGTTTCTGATTAAAGATATTTTTTAAAATTATAAAAATATAAAGTGATTGTTGAAAATCACAAGCAAGGTAAATAAACACATTAAGAACAAAATATATTTACTTTTATAAAAACAAACTCTACTTCCTTTGCCACTTAATGTTGGGAATGTCTCAGAAGCAGTAAGTAATATGAAAACATGGGAAAACATAAAAACTTATAAATGAAGAAACTAGTTTGACGCAATGGAATTCTACTCTGCTGTAAAAAGGAAAAACATTTACTCTTTGCAACAGCATGGATGGACCTGAAGAACATTATGCTGAGTGAAATAAGCCAGTCAGAGAAAGTCATGTTTTATATGATTTCACTGTGAATTTAATCAACAAATTGAACTACCAAGCAAAAACAGAGACAGACTCATAGATGGAAAAAAGGCAGATGGTTTGGGTGGGATAGTGAACATATTGAGGAAAAAGAAAAAAAAGAGAGAGAGAATTCATGGAAATGGACAACATTGTGTTGATTGTGGGGGGAAGAGGGCAGAGAGAGGATAAATGATGGAAAAAATAAAATAAATAAAATAAAATAAAATAAAATAATTAATTAAAGATAAAACTACTTTGGGGCCCTGGCATATTTCAGATTGACATATAATAATTATTATACTATAAATATATATTTCTGTCTGTAATAATAAACACAAATGAATATAAAAAGATAAATTGTGTTATTTATAATGTTATATTTGAAATTACACACATTAAAATCTTATTTACATTAAAAACAATGAATTCAAGCCCTAGTTAGCTTGAATTTGGCTCAGTGGATAGATCATTGGCCTGTGCACCAAAGGATCCCAGGTTTGAGTCTGGTCAAGGGCATGTATGTTGGTTGCAGGTTTTTACCAGACCCAGTTCCTGGTCGGGGCTCATGCAGGAGGCAACCAATTCATGTGTTTCTTTCACATCAATATTTCTCTCTGTTTTTTCCTTTCTCTCTAAAAATCAATGGAAAAATATCCTCAGGTGAGGACTAAAGAAATAAACAAACAACGTCAACACTGAATGTTTATAAATAAAGATTTTTAAAATATTGAAATTATGTTTAGTCTCAAGCCAGTTGTGATGGCATAAAGTCAAAGATCACTCATAAAAAATACCTCTGTTAAAATGTAGGCAGTCTTGGAGATAGGATGCCAAAAATCTAGGCATATGTGTTTCATTCAGAAATATTATAGAAATATTTTCCATCACTGGGTAGATTTCAGTAAAAGCAGGAAAATATTTGAAACATCACCATTATGTGTATTTGTACAGATTGTACAATATGGGAAGCCAGAATAATGAAAAGTAATTCGAGATCAAAGGTGGCATCATGTAATTACCGGTTTCATCTTACAAATGGCACATCATACATTTGAAAAATAACAGCAAAGCTGCATTGAAGAAACAAAGATCCATATCAATGGCTGTGAAATTATGCTTTTCAGTCCCTGAAATTTCCACAAGGCATATCAAGGTACTTCTAAAAGCCGGTATATTGACAATAGGTAATTTTCATGTTTATGCATTGCATTATATTAAGGTCAAACTAACCAACCAAATATTCATAAATAGCCTTTCAAAAAATAAAAGACAAAAGATTCCAAATATTCAAAATATCTAACAATCTCTGTTTTATAAATGTAAATGTATCTTCTCAAAAATGACAATGATAGAATGCTCCTCGGGAATTACTTATGTGTTAATTGAAAAACGCTGCTATGATTTCACATACAAAATCAGGTGACAAGATATAAGGTCGACTCCTCAGTATTTTGCTGACTCTACAAGAAAAAAACTATTTTTATCAGCCATTTTCCACTTTCTAAGGTTGTTTTCTCTCTAAAGGCATCAGATTAAAGCCTTTAGATTAAGCAAAGTATCTTTAACTAAAACCTCATAGTAAGTTTAAATTATAAAGCACAGCAATAAAAGCATTTTTTAGTTTCCATTTTTCCTTGGTTATAATTTTGGATAACTTTCTTACTGTCTAATTTATGTAATCTCAATCTTTTCTTTTGCTTTCATGTGTTTTGTTTTATTAAAATACATTAGAAATTATGACTTCCACAAATCTTTCTTTAAAAAAATACACAACTGCTAGCATGTTACTGGGTATCTAAGTGTACGCGCGCACACACACACACACACACACACACACACACACACACAGGCTCTCTGCCTCCACAGTTACATTATTTGAAAAACGACATTAGGAAACTGATTTGGTCTTAGGTTTCCTGGTGTGTTCTTTGTGAAGGCAGAGTTCTGCCTTCCTCCCTTGCCTCTTTTATTTTATAAACTCCCTGAAATCAATAACACAATAGAAAATTATATCTTTTTTTTAATCAAGCATTTGAAATCCAGCTAAAGTTAGTTTTTGCTAATACTTTCTAAATCATGTCTTCATAAATATTCATACTCCCACTAAGATATCTTTAAGATTTTGTTCAAGGTATATCCGGATGTCAAGGATATTAATTTTCCTTCCAAGATATAAATTCTGTCTATTCTGCTTTGGTGATGATTTATCTCTTTTACACTATTCTCCAGACTCAATGACTTTTTTATAGAGAAAAAAATCATAGTGTAAAGCCATTTATATTATACTTTAGCCATTGACAGATTTCAGGGGTTTATGATTTATCATTGAAACACCATGAACATATAAATATTTTCCTAAGTAAATTAATAATTTGAAACAAATCTATAGTTTCATATCAACTTAATTTTTTTTTCAAATAGCAAAAATTCAAAATGTTGAGAAAAAAATTTCTAAATTTCATCAATCTATGTTTATTGACTGTCTCTTGTTCTCAGATTATTGGTATCTATTGCTCCACTTCTCACATTTATACATGTGTGCACACAAATTCCTACTACAGATTTTTCAAAACATTAAATATTAATTTACACCTACAGAATACAAGTAACAAGTTAAAATGCCACAAGGCAACCCTATAATTCTCTAAAATACACGTCAGAACAGCTGCTCTTGGCAGATTTTGACTACAAATAACAACACATTAGCATAGAGATTTAAATTCTACTCTAGAAAGAAATTATTTGGAGTATTTCACTTTTTTTAAAATATATTTTATTAATTTGAGAAAAGAATGGAGAGCAAGATGGAGAGATAGAAACATCAATGATGAGAATCATTGATTGGCTGCTTTCTGCACTCCTCATTCTAGGGATCAAGCCTGCAACCAGGGCGTGTGCTCTGACCTGAAATGAACTATGACCTCCTGGCTTATAGTTCTACGCTCAATCACTGAGCAATGCTGGCCGGGCTAGGGTATTTCACTTTTTACAAGGTTGTTCATGATTGCGTAGGAGTCCTTCTATATCTGTGAGTTCTCTGGTCTTCAGCTCTAGCCTACAGTTTATAGCTGTAATCCAGATATATATTTAGGATTTGCAAATTGAGGATATCTCATTTGGACAGTAATCCTTAAAATGTGCATATTTTTTACTTCACTAGAATTAAATTAAGAAAATAACTTCTACTGTCTGAAATGATTCAATCTTAAACATAGTAAGTAAGCTATTTTAAAGTTCCATGTGGTTTTGTGCTCCAATGCCACATGAATCCATGGTGATTATGAAAACAGAAGATCCCAGTTATGTTATAGTCTTTCCATGGTTTCCCCTTGACAGAAGTAGCATGCTACTTCCATGTATGATATGATTTTAATCTTAATGGAACAACAAAAAACAGTGACATGTTAAATGTAAAACAGATGCTACACCCTTACCACTTCTTGGGTGAAATAAGGACCACAGTAAAAGCCTTGGGAGAGAAGTATAAATGCTTGGCATAGGGATGATGGGCTATATGTACATTTTATTTGAAATTATTTATTGTGGAATTACTTAAGATTCCCCCTGGAAATCAATTTCATTCTATTCTTCCATTCAAGTGTAACTGGCATGCTAACTGTTAAAATGTACACAAATGGGGAAAAAAATAGAAGGAATGCTGGCGATAATACACGTAGGTGGGACATCACGTGGGAGTGAAAGTGGGAGGGAACACTAACCATATTAGGCTTGGATGGGCAACAGCGCAGAGGGAAGAAGCCCTTCCACAGCCACATTCGCAGCAACTGAAAAGCAAACAAGAAAGCCCAGGATAAGGAAGAGATCCCACTCCCTCGATATAGCACAAAGACACTACGTATTTTCACAGGTGTCTGCTTTGCTTTTCAAAATTACAAATTCCTAAATGCATACAATTAAATTTTCCCACAATGCCCTTCAAATTAAGAAGTGTTTCAAGGAATTAAGAAATACAGAACTGTACTAAATAGTTATTTTTTATTTTACATAAAATGCTGATTCAGTAAGGACATAACGAACTAATACATTTGCTTATGCAATGAATATAGAAATGCAAAAATATGTAAGCCCATTTAAATATATATCTCCTCCAGAATTCCGGCAAACTTTAAATTCAGAAGACATTTTAAATAGCCCCTCAAATACATGTTTTGCATACAGCCTACCCATTTCAGCTGGAGAACAATGTCTTACTCATTTGACCCACTGATTTCTTATGCCAGTGGAATTATTCATCAAAGCCTATTGAAAATGCTATGCATACGTGACTTCAATCACTTATGGAAGGCTTCCAATTTAAATTTACATTTTCAGATTTAAAAAAAATGCATCTCTAAATATATATTTGCAGAACTACTGCTATTTTAAAAATAAGCAAGCTATATATAATACATGCACTTTCTGGATATCAAAACATTCAAGATTATTTTAAAATGTTCACATATTTATAGTAAAAAAAAAAGATGATCCAGAAAAAAAACCCACAAGTAAACTATCTAATAAAAGCACTTTATTGTGGGAAACCACATAAACTGATGGCAGAATACAGCACAGAATTATTTAGTGCTTCAACACATTCACCTTTAAGTATATTCTATGGATAGCATTTCTAGTTATTTCGAGAGAACTGCGGAACAAGCTTAGTAATGGACCAGCAAGTTTAGGCTTTTGTCCAAAATCTGCCAATTTGAACTTTAATTCCTTGACATGTATCTACTCTATTTTATATTAAATAATAATAAGAAAATAAAATATAATGCTAGAGAAGGTAGAAAAGTAATTCTAAATAAAATTCCAATATATTTTTTCAAAGAAAAAGTAGGCAGTGTTCCATATATATTCTTTGAGATATTAATGATCTTTTGTTTTTAAATTTATTTTTAATTTAAAAAATATATATATTTTTCTTATGCCAGTGCAATTATGTTAGAGGAGAGAGAGAGATACCATCATCAATGATGAGAGCGAATCATTGATCAGCTGCCTCCTGCATGCCCCCCTGGAAATAGAGTCCACAACCCATGCATGTGCCCTGACTGGCAATTGAACTGTGACCTCCTGATTCACAGGCCTGACTGAAGCATTCATGATGTTTTAATTTTTGTGCTACTATGTGACAATTTGGTTATCACTAAAATGCAATTCTACTAAACAAAAATGGCTATATGACATTTATTTCCAGTTTGATCACTTGTATTTTAAAGAATATGCCAAATAATTATTCTCATCATAGAGATATTGAAAGTCAAAGTTATAGTACTTCATAATGTTAAAACAATGAGAAGTGTTTCTTTTGTACATTTTGATATATTTCTTTATAATTATATTTATTTATTAGTGTAATTATATCACATTTATTAATGTCATATAATTATTGACATATATGTTAACGTTACCACTGTTTTCTGCTTGTATCAAAACTCAGATTAGGAGTTGGCAAACTATGGTCCATGGACCAATTCGAGTCTCCCACTTAATTTTGCAAATGCAGTTGTATTGGAACCAGTCACATCCATTACTTGTTTGTGGCTTCCCTGGAGTTGTATGGTCGAGTTGAGTAGTGAAAGAGAATATAGGGCCTGCAAAGCCTAAAACTTACTATCTGACTATTCAAAAAAGTCCACCTTCCTCTTTCCTTAGACTGGCAGTTTCTTTAGATGATGATGATTCTTTGATTATTTTTTCTTCTTCATAGCTTAAACATGATAAATGACAACCTGTAAGTAGTCAGTGTTTCACTATAACTGCTGTTAACTAACATTATGATTATCTCAATTTATTACTATGAAAAATTTGCATATATGTGTTAATTTCAAACAGCCCAGTTCCAACTCAATAAATAATAAATAAATTAACAATGGATTTTTGATGCATGCACCAGATTGATTTTTAGTGATAAAAAAGATGATGTCATCTCCTAATAAAGTACAAACATCCTTCCAGATGTGTGTGTACAGGTTGGTAAAGTCAGGTAACAATGTGCTTAGGAAGGCAATAGTAACTGCATATTGTGGCCATTGCCTATTAGGATTCCCTTCATAATTGGTAAATGTTCTAAGACTCAAATAAGCACACTAATGACTCTATAAATAATAATATTTTATTCATTACTCTGAATTTTAAAAATTATAATAGGGATCTTGTCTTAAAATTAGTACATACACATGCACACACATACAATTCACTTGACACCAAATCCACAAATTTTAGTCCTGAAATTTTTAAATAATCTTATCTATCTCTAGAATTCTGATTCATAGATTTAGCAAAGTTTAATAAAAAAATCTGAAATCATGTAATATTCATTATTTGTATGTCTATCTTTTCTGAGACTTTGTTTCAGATTTTGTACTGATAGTTTATCTGACTTGTTTTAAGATGACATAAATAAATTTCCTTGAGTTACTTAGTTAACCTCTTTGTATTTCAATTGACACACAAGAATCCTATTTCATAGGTTTAATGAAAATAAAGTGAGATGATATATATATTCACCTTGGTGAGTATCTGGCTGATTACATATTTTGGAGAAAAGTTGTAATTACTGTTAGTAATATCATAATTAAAAGTGATAGAATAAATTATCATTACATCAGAGGAATTTAGATTTTTCATGATCCATATATTACCATGCTAATATGTCCATTGATAATATAACTAAATAACTAATTACATTCAGACCAATTCATATAAATACAAAACGGGGAATGCAAATTTTTAAAGCCTAATTTTCCCAAAATACATTTTCTAAAAATTTAGTAATCAGAGCATACTGTGCATAAATGTGTTCTTAAGAACATTAAAAAGGAAGTACCTTTTCTATAAATATCTGAAGTGAACTAGATCCTCTAAGTGATTTGGGTCCTTTAAATAACTTTAAAAATAACCCGGGCACCTCTACACCAGATGGTATATAGTTCACATTCTTTTCTTAATCAATAAGTGCTTGCAGAAGTAAAGGTTGAAAATGCTCAGAAGCCTCAGAGGTAATTTAGAAATAGAAACCAAAAACGTGCTAAAAATAGTGGCTATTCTAATGTGTGTGAGCTGTGGTTCAGCACGGGCACATCTGCATCTGCCCCTTTTGCAGCACCTGGAGGCTGAGTCACTGCAAGGAGCTACAACAAGGTCATTGCTATCCCAGGTTAAAACAGGTTAGGCATTCTAGGCTTATGAATGGAAATCACTGGTCTTTGCTTTAAGGCTATTTTGATTTGCCCTTTGGAAGATTACAATATGATAACAGAAGCTTTCCAGCCCCAAAGAAGATTCAAATGAAATTACTTCAGTCAAGCCTTCCTTAGAGCTGATCAATACATGTACAAAGTGTGTCAGGGTAAGTAAGATAACCTTCCTCCTCCTGAAGCAGGTGATTATAACTCCAGGAAAGGAATTCTCGAAGATGCTAGATCAGAGAAACAAGGCGATGGGCTGAGGATAAAGGGTGACTTAAATTCTTAAACAAGAGATCATACAAGAGGAGATGAAAAACACCAAGATCTGTGGATAAATGAAAGGCAGGAAAAGTAATTTCACAAAAGAAATACTTTTCTTAGAAAATATTCGCAGTTTACTGCTCTTAAAAAGGGAATACATCGAAAAGGCAGCATTGTTCACCCATTTCAAATAAAAAACAGAAAATGATGGTACTTAATGCTGAAGAAAAGAATGGAACTTGTGCCCTCACTGGTGGCAAGCCACACTGAAAAGTGACACCAATCCTTTAGAAAACAATCTTCCAAAACTGACCAAAGAGTAAGAAAAATGTCCTCACCTTTTGACTCCATTGTGTAGCAAGCCAGTTAAGATCCTGGGATTTGTACCCAGACTAGGAGCTGTCCTGGATGTGTCCATTCATAAATGTGTAGTTTAAGTAAACTAGTAACTGATGTAAATGAAAGAATAATTGTGACTATCACATACAGTGTTGCTTTGAAAGAAAGAGTTTAATAATGCATGTAAAGCTCTCTGCTTTGTCTTGGGCTTATAGTCAACATTTTACTTTTTTTTTTCCCCTAAGGGATGTTTTTCTAATTTGGTCTTGGGTAAAGAGTGTGATACAGATAATATGCCTGAGGCTGGCCACAGATTTTACAGGAAGTAAATAACTCATAATATATTTCACAGTAAACAATATATTTGTGGAAGCAACAATGCAATGTAAATCAATATAGAGTAACATTTTTCTTAATGAGGCAAAAAATGTGTAGGAAAATAAAATAATGGCATAAAACTATATCAAACCTCTAAGAGCCATTATGTGGGAATGTTACATCAATTCACACTAAGGGTCAATTTTAGTTTTCTCTCACTTCAAATTGTTTGTGGTTATTTAATTTTATACTCTTCAAAAAATAAAACAGATAATTTAAACAATTCTAATTATGATACTTATCACAATGATAAAATTTTAAACATGCAACATATTTATAATAAAAAAAAAGCAGAGGAAATTGTTCACTGGTTTTTAACACCGATAATATTGATTGTTTTATACATTTCTTAAAATGCCTCAAAATGCAATATTTTTTGCATCTGTGTCTTAATTCACTGCCACTCTTTTAAGGCAAGCTAAACCCTGCAGAATTTTTTTGCAAAAACTTGAAAAGCTATAAAAGCATAATGATCACATATGTGGTTTCCAAACTCTGCTCTTTATTTCCCATGCTTGAGCCACAAAGGCATAAAATTATCCCACCCACAGGAGAGAAGGTAATGCAAAATGGTTCGAAAGGCCTTTCTATTTAATTTTTAAGTGTGCGTTTGA